GCTGTCTAGTACTTGAAGTCTCTGCTAAGCTGTCTGAAATTCAAATTGTGGCCTTGCAAATTCATCTATAGATGTTGCTTCAGCGTTTCTTTGTTTCTTCAAACCTGGCACATGTGCCACTTCTGGTATGGAACATGAGATTTGGTAAGACGTAAAACAAATAGCTATCGGATTGTTTCTAAAGTACCTCAGGAAATGATGCATTTATTGCAAGGAGCCCACCCCCCACAGACACCTGCCTGCTGGGGGCCAAACTGGATGGGCAGAACTGAACTATTACTGGTCGTTCCCAAACTGAGTGAGCTAGGGAGACAGGAGCAAGCTGTGTCTGTGAAAGTTATGAACCTACAGCAAGTGACTTTCTTCTAGGATCCTTGGAGGGATGGGGAGATTGAGGGTATGGGTCACCAGCAGACTTCCTCCTGCTCTCACTTCAAAGCCTTGCTGGCTGTCTTTCCCAGTGGGAAATCAAGTTGTTTATGTTGTGGAGACGAGACGTGGCCGAGTGGGTGACCACACCACACAGACAACCGAACTTTGGGAGATTTTGGCATGAGAAGCCATTGGCTCAAACCTCACAGGAACTTAAATCTCCCTTAATCTTGTTACTTTACAAACACACACTGTGCTGCCAGGTGCTACAGCTGCATAGATGGTTTGGGCATGACCCTTAGCCTCAATGGTCACGATTTAGAAATGTTCCTTTAAACATGTGTGCAAAGTGAAATGGGGACAGGAGAGTGAGGGCTGACAGGCCATAGTGACTTCATGGAGCAGGTGGTGTTGGAGCTGTGTCTCGAGGGATGTGTAGGAGGCATGTAAGTCATTTACAGTAAGAATCCCTGTAGTTTTACCCCAGGGACTCCTTCTCAGACCAGCCAGAACCAGGATTATAGCCAGGATTCAACCAGCACTTCTCATGACAGAAAGGGCTCAGAGTCAATTAAGGGGTGAATTCTGATGACTGACTTGGCCATCCAGCCTGCCTGAGCACCAGGCTTTCCTCTCTGACTCTGATTGGGGTCGGTTTTACTGGACCTCCCCGGAAATCTTCACTGTGAGTGTGAATGTGGTGTGCAGACTTCTCTTGGCCCTTCCAGGTGTCCAGCGTGGGCCTCCTATGACCTGGAGTAGGTGGTAAGAGGCTACTCTTCCTAAAATCTCAGAGATGAAAATTCTTAGCTTCTGATTTTTACAAGTTCACAGTTCACACTATTCTTTTTGCAAAATTTTCTTTTCTTAAAAACAAAACAAAACAAAACAAAAAAACAACTTTCAGTTAGTTGTTGTGGCACACACCTGTAATCCCAGTGGCTTGGGAGGCAGAAGCAGGAGGACCACAAGTTCAAGGGTAGCCTTG